GGTGTGGGGTGTGGCAGGTAAGGGGTGAGGGGAGATTTCTGAACGGTATTTCAGGCGGCCGGCGAAGCCACCGCTGGATGCAAGGCTGCAGGGATTGAGAGATGTGGGTCTGCGAGGCGAAATGGATCGGGCAGCGGCGGCCGGGCAAGCAGCGATGAGGAGCATGCTTTAGCGACGGTGTTGCCGCGATCGAACGCGGCTGCCTGAGAGACACATAAATACGTATCCTGCGGCCCCGATGCTCTTGATGGGTGCTGACGACACACCATTCACAGGCACGCGCTCACCGGTGGCAAAGTCTTCGGTCACCGACTCGTGCGCCTGGCCCCCGATCGACACCAGGGCGTCCCGTCTGAACAGCACGCCGGTACCGCAGCAGGGGGCCGCGCCCGCGCCGTCGCGGCCCTGCGTGATTATGGTGTATTGCATCACATCACATCACATTACATGACATGACAAAGCATGACATGACATGCATGATCATGGTGCATTGCAATGCTTTTCAATACATAAAATATCGTATAATCACATCAACATCACAATGCATGGCATTACATGTCATTACATCACGCTTTCCCAGCATCGAGGGGCAGAGCAAAATCTGGCTCCCTGTGGCGGGTGACGCCCCCGACCCCACCTGCATCATGGTGCCGTAGAAGAAGCGCGCGCAGTCGCAGAACGGGTCATCGGGCTCCACGTTGTAGAAATCCTGTCGTAAGCAAAAAGTTGTGGTCTGGCATTGGACTTCGACGCCTTGGATTCATTCAACATCAGTACAGCATCCATGAGCCGCGTGTGTTTGACCGGCGGAGATTGGTCATGTTTGACTGCACGCGGCCGGCTGCATACTGCTATGGCTGGCAGGCTGGCGCGCGGGCGACTGTCCAGCAAATTAGTGCTGCAGAGCAACCTGCCGTTGGTGCCCGTGACAACAGTGTCTGTTTCAACACGTACTGTCATCTGAACAGAGTATGCAGGATGCCCGCTGGGGGCGAGGCCTTTTTAACCGACGCCTGACAAAAATGCGGCGGAGCACGCAGCACACATGTCAGCCCCAGGCGAATGCTGCGAGCCCTGAAGCAGCGGCACCGCAGCAATGATGCACGACCCATCACCTGGGGCGTCTGCAGCAGTGCCGCGTCATCCTTCAGCTCCCAGGCGCCGCCCTTCGATGCTGAGTCACCCAGCCGCCTGTAAAAGTGCCCCAGCGTCCGCATCAGGAACTCGGGGTGCACGATCATGTCTGCGGGATGCAGCGTGAATGACACTCAGCTGTTAATCTTCCGCTGCGTGCACCAGGCTACGTGAGTATGCGGGAGGGGCTGGAGGACTCAAGCGCCCACCGGCACACAGCTGTTGCAGAACCGACGCCCATGCACCGCTGCAGTGCTCCCTCCCATACACCGCAGTTGGTGGAAACAGGCAGGCAACAGGCAATCAAACCCTCCCAAAAACACGAGAGAGCGCCGCCGGCTGCCAGCCGACACAGTCAGCACAACTTCGCCGCAGCAACGTTGTAGTTGACTACATAAGCCCTCCCTCCACCAAGCGCCCACGCACCGCAGTCAAGCACAAGGACAAAGTCCCCGCGCCCCTCCCCCTCCAGCAGCAAGCAGCTGTTGATGTTGCCAGCCTTCGCGTGGTGCGGCACGCCGGCCGCCTTGCGTCGACGCACGTAGGCCAGGCGCGGGTCGCGCCCCATGAAGCTGCACTGAAGCTGCAGGCGGGTCACCATGTCCTCGACGCCCGGGTCTCTGCCGTCATGCAGGACGTGCACCTGCGGTTTGCGCGGGGTTTGCACGGAGCGTGCGTGGGGGCTGGTGAAAATGTGCCGGCTGCACATGCATGTCAACACATCAGCAATCAGAAGCCGTTGGGCATGCAGCACTAGCGAAGGGACGGCGCACTGCTCTATCGAACCCGGCTGTCTCAGGTGCAGCTATTTGCGGCGCCACGCCGCAGCTCCGCAGGGCGCCCCCAGGCGCTGCAGCTGCTGCTGCCGCCACCGTGCTGCAGGCCCAGGCACGGGCGTGGTTTCTTGAAATTGGCACTGGCCCCCACCGTCAGCAGGCCGGCTGGGTAGTCAAGGTTGACGGCGGCCACCACTGTCGGCTCCACGACTTCTACAGGCTCCTCATAGCACACCACAAACACGTCGACGGGCGGCATCTGCGGCTGCTGCTGCTGCTCCTCCTCCTTCTGCTGCTGCTGCTGCTGCTGTTGCTGCTGCTGTTGCTGCTGCCGCTGTTGCTGCACGGGCTCCTCCTCCTCCTCCTGCTCCTGCTGCTGCTGCTGCTGCTGCTGCTCCTGCACCTGCACCTGCACCTGCTCCTGCTCCTGCTCCTGCTCCTGCTCCTGCTCCTGCTCCTGCTCCTGCTCCTGCTCCTGCTCCTGCTCCTGCTCCTGCT